AAGAAAAAACATAAGCGGGAGCAGACTTTACTAGTGGGGTATAACTTCCATCTGAGAGACGGATATGGGTGGGATCCGGCGCTGCGAGGTGGCTCTGACGTGTCCCGTCGTCTACAACCGGATGCCCTGGGACGGGATGACAGCCGGTCAGGCTTTTCCCGAGTCGTTCCGTGCATTGAATTTCTTCTTTGCACGTTCAGACATGTTGGGGCAGCTTCTGACAGTGTGCTCGGCACCTCCACAGTACAGGCAGAGACCCTGAGCGAAGCGACGGTCACGTTCCTCCTTGGTGAGAGGCTGGCGTGGCACCGTTTTGGTCGCGTCGATCTCCATTGGAATCCCAGGAGGGAGCGAGGTCGAAGTAGATGGTTTGGGCTGAACATAGCGTGGAGTGGTGGTATCGTTGCTAGTCTGCTGACGGGGTGTGGGTTTCTTTGCAGTCTTGCGTTCCACCTCGCGACGGTGGAGTCGATTGTCAATGGCGATTGTGAGGTTGACATACTCGTCAAAATCCTCAGGAGGGCTGTGAACGGTGAGTAACAAATCCTTAACCTCGTCTTTCAACCCCTCGTAGTACTTCTGGACGGTGGTCGAGGTGTTGAAATTGACGTAAACCAGTAACTCGCGGAATTTGGACGCGTAGTTCGCGCAGCTACCAGTTTGTCGGAGGTTCTCGATCTTGCGGAGGGCCGTGCCCTCGGTGTCGGGATCCCCAAAGTGCTGTCTGAAATCTTCGATCAGTAGGTCAAAATCGTGAAGTAGTTCATCGTTAGTACGACGAATCGCCGTGAACCAAGAGCGTGGTGAGCCGTTGTCGAGGTACGTGGACAAATACAAAGCTTTATCCATGTCAGTGGGTAGGGAAGAGCGTGAAAGTTCCACGGCGCTGAGTATTTCATCCACGAAGGCGTCAACTTCGGTCGCACTGCCCTTGAAAAGGCGTGGCTCTCGAAATTTAGCAACGCTTCGCGGAATGACCGATTCCGTAGAACTGTGGGACCCTGCGGCACTATGTGGCAAGGTGGGGAATCTGAGAGAAGCTATTTTGTCAGTAATGTCCTCGAGAACGCGTCCAATAGTGCGCTGATTCTCGTCTAGGCGAAACGAGCTTTGTCCGAGTGATGTGATGGCCTGCAGAACTTCGTGGAAGTTCTCCAGGGTCGGGACAAAAGTGGATTGAGATGGGAGCGGGTGCTCCATGTCCGGGTCTGAACTATTGGGGATAGACATGTTAGTGGAATGAAGCCCCAGGCGTCAATATAATGGATTGAGGAAGTATACGAGTTCCGAGAATTGAGTTGACGAGTTGGTGGTCTATTCAAACTGTAACGGGCGCTCGACGAAGTGAGAGAGGCGAGTGACGGAGAAACGAGTGAGAGGCCAGATACTGGCGTTGAATAGACAAAGAGAAAGGTACAAAGCTCCTAGCCACATATAAGTATCTAGATATGATAATGTAAGTGGAACATAGGAATGAGACCGGATATAGTAAACGTGTCTGTGAGATAGCGAGCCCGTTAATATCCGAACGAGTCATCCCGCACGTATCGTATAGAGTCCGTTAGCTATGTAGAATGGCCGTGAATACATAGATTGACCATGACCGTGACATATAGTCCTAAAACCAGGATACATCATCTAGGTAGGTTGTCCATCATCCAGTGGATGTATCCTTCGATACATCCATGGCGGATCCAAAATTTTGATTCTCGGAACTTTCCAGGCCTTCAAGTTGGGAGGGGTCGAGTACCAAAACTAGACACTCTCAGCCCCCCTCTCCGGCCAGGTGCCCTTCTAGATCTTGATTTCAGCTATTTCTGATCCGGCGGCTATGGGAGATAGATCATCACTTTGTTTGACTTCGAAAGAAGAAACCATCGAGCACGTCGCTGCGCACTAAGGCCCAGCTCGGCAACTGAGTCCAGTTCGATTTTCGCTGGTCAGGTTCAATTGATGGTTGACTAAATTAGACCAGCGAAATGGCCCAAACTGGGCAGCGAGTTTGTTTCTAGTGTACCCTACTGTACTTGCTGATGGTAATCAACACTACTCGAAAGCACTTTGCACGCTCGAAAATGAAGAAAAAACGGGCCGCTGTCATCGCTATCGCACTCGCTGCTGCTTCCATTACTCAACATCATTATGCTGCCCGCTACGACAAAACTCCCAAAAACACTTCCAAGCTCACCGGCCAACAATGGTTGAATGAGCTTCTGGCTGGCCATCCTCAGCGTTTTTACGATGCAATGGGAATGAATAAACATGTATTCCAGGCCCTTCTCCGTGAGCTAATCAAACACGGCCTTCACGACACAAGACATGTTTCGGCTGAAGAGCAGCTCGGAATCTTCCTGTATCTTGCTGTAACTGGCCTACCCCAGCGCCATCTTGAAGAACGATTTCAGCGCAGTCCGAGTACCCTCACAAAGTGCGCCACCATATTAATTATTGACGAGTTTAGAATTTGACTTCTGCTTATCAGAGCCATCCATTGCATTCTCAACCTCCTCACGTCTGATGCTTTCTATAATGCCTATGTACAACTTCCTGACGCGACCACCCCACTCGCACCCGAGATTGAGGACAACCCAAAATTTTATCCATTCTTCAAAGACTGCCAAGGATCAATCGACGGAACTCATTTGGATGCTTTTGTTCCTGATGATGCCGTGGCACGTTACCGCAACCGAAAAGGTCATCTATCACAGAATGTGCTTGCTGCATGCTCACAAGATCTGCAGTTTACATATATTCTCAGTGGTTGGGAGGGCAGTGCTGCTGATGGACACATCTATGAGGATGCTCGACGAAGTAATCTGATTATCCCTCCTGGTAAATATTTTCTCGCTGATGCAGGCTTTCCAATTTGCAATGGGCTCATGATCCCATACCGTGGAGAACGATACCATCTAAACGAGTGGGGTAGGATTGGTTTACAGTATTTCATTTCTGCTATCATGCTATCATTTTCTCATGACTCGTCTAGGCCCAAAAACTATCGTGAACTTTTCAATTTGTGTCATGCACAAGCTCGTAATGTCATTGAACAGATTTTCGGAGTGGTCAAGAGACATTTTCGGCTTCTCATGGTTTCTCCCGAGTATGATTTTACAACACAGGCAAAAATGGTCCCTGCTATCTGTGTACTACACAATTTCATCCGTATTTATGACAACGATGACCTCCCAGAGACACGTGAAACTCCCCATGATGATATTATCGGGGCAGTGATAGATGGGTTCGAGGATCTTGGAGGTGATATCTCATCTGCAGAATGAGTTCAGGCTTCCGATCTTAGGGATGCTATTGCCAAAGCTATGTGGGATAGTTATCAGTACATTTTAAATACACGATGTGTACTATCCTAGACTAAATTCAGCTAACTCTGACTGAATGTAACGAGTGTAGGTTGACTTTTTCTTGATTGCGCGGTATGAATCTGCAATTGCAGTCTGACGAGAGAACAACCGAACAGCTGCCACCTGCTCAGTTTCGGACAACTCAGCATCATCTTCAAGACAGTGGATGGCAGCACTACGACGTTCTGGAGAAGTGAGCCCACCAGACTCATCAAATTTATCAGCGAGTGTCTCGATAGCTCCTGCAACCGAAAACATGGCATCAGTACCTGAGCCACGACCACTCGAATAACGACGGATGGCACGGCCAGTTGGCTGGCGCTTGCGGCTGCTACCAAACGGTGTCACTTCAGCCGAACATTTCCGATTGTTGGGTTTGATGGGTGTCTGCAAGTCATTGACATCCTGGTAGATAGCCGTGAGCCAATAGATCATGTGTTTAAATAAAAAAAATGTACCTTGTCATTTTCGTCATCGAACATCTCATGTTCTTCACCTGAATCAGCAGGATAGTTGAACGGGAGGGTGGTGTCAACAATTTCAGTCGTGGTAGTCATGCCCACACGAAAGACATTTTCGCCAGTGGCAATAATCCCCTCGACGAGAATCTGGATGCTGTCGTACAGCGGAAAAGGTTTCTTCCTCCAGACTTTTGCTTTTGTGTGTGTGTGTCGAGGCATTTTGGTCAGCACCTCCGAGTCACGCAGATCTGACGAGATCCACTTACTGCAAGATATTTCTCCCAGACGTCTGGTGGGGCAGTTACAATCTTCAAAGTGTTGTCCCAGCCAAATCCAGATTGTTCCCGGAGTTTTTTAAGAACGGCGAAGTCTTTTTTGAGCTGAGAGCACAGTTAGAATGTATCACGAAAAGAATACAAGACATACCTTTCCCCAATGATCATGACATGAGCCAGATGTCTTCGCAACACCTCCACTTGTCTTCTCGCTCCCTTTGAGTGCTTCCGCGCAAGCAACGAATGACTTCGGTTTGAATCCTGAGTCAGATTGATGACCCTCCTCCCGTTCCTTCAGAAGTGTTGCTATCAACACAGCATCATCACTGGACTTCCAAACTGTCTTCGTGCTCGCACTCGGTGCTTTTGGTTTGGTCTTCGTGCCTTTGTCAGTCACAGTGGTGGACTCAGCAATAGGGCCAGCCTGAGATTGTTCGTTTTCGGGTGACATCTGAATAAGTCACAAAGGGAGGGACGAGATGGAAGAATTGGATTGCCAGAGACAAAAATCTGTATTAGTACTACAAGTAGATACCCATAGATTGATCTAACCCATCGAAATCAAACTTTTTTGTTGAGCACACACGCTGGTTGAGTTAAATTAGATGTTTTGATGGGAAAAATGTGTTGGTTCGATCCGACGTGATTTTGGTGGGTGACCAGCGAAAATTGAACCGGACTCAGTTGCTGAGCTGGGCCTAAGGCTTGTCGTGTAAGTCAACCTGTCATCATGTGATGTTCGTATTCTCGCATTTCTAAGTGCTTCTAAGTGACGGTTTTCAAATTTTCACATCAGAAACATGTAGGCTGCAATTTATTTATTATCAAGACAACAATTATACACGACAACAAAATAAACTATATGCGAAGATAGGTATGATAGTGACGTGCAGGGCTTTGAAACTTTAAACTTTTTGTTTCCTGTTTGTCAAGTTAGATTTACTGAATTTATGAATGACGAAAACAATGCATGTCTTGTGACCTGAGACACCATCTTCGCCTGCCGGTCCATGGCGCTTGCTAGCAATCAGACAGTTCTCGCCAATACTGTTAGCAATAACATTGCACGAGGATGGAACACAGTGTCGGCCGGTCCTGTGCAGAATGGAACCATTGACGGGTGCAGGAGGTTGGCTTTGTTGATCGGGTATGGTAGATGGGGATGAGACTGGTGCAGCAGACAAAGGAAGAGCGGCTGGAGGAAGCATGGGTGAGTCCTGCGGAGCTAAGATGGGTGTAGGCTGAAAGAAATCCATGAATGGGGCCTGGATTCGCGTGGACTCAGAGGACACTGTTGTGGTTGGAGGAAGTGTGGGTGAGTTCTGTAGTGGTGTGGGTAAGTCCTGCAGTGATACCACAATGGGTGCAGGCTGAGATATATTTTGGGGCAAGCCAGGAGGTGGAGTTATGGGAGGTGATGGCGATATGTTTGGGGGCAAGCCAGGAGGTGGAGTTATGAGAGCTGATGGCGACTCCAAGGCAGATGCTGCCTGCGGGTAAAGAGGTAAGCATGGCAGGTTTGGATTTCCGCCTGACACCTCAAACATGTCGACTTGAGCAGAGAGTCCCTCCCAGAATGAGTCGTCTATGTCTGGCCAATTGATATCAGTCGAGTTTTCAGGCAAATTGATGTCAGGGACTTTGTCCACCTAGTGGTGGCCGAGTCCAGTTCAGAACTGTGGTTCGAACTCGAACCGTTATGAACTTGACTGGGGTCCAGTCCAAAGTTCGGGCAATGAGTGGAACCGAACCGTTGGTCCAGTTCCCAGTTTGATGACCTGTAGGAATTGCTGAACCTGTTCGAACCACGGAGATATATCAGACCAGAAGAGAAGATCTGAAAGCAGTATGTTGTAGTCTAATATCAGTATTAGTTGTATCCCCTTGATGACACAATGTTTCAGAATCACTCGATCAAGTTATGTTCGATTTTCTTTGCTCATCAGTCTTTACTATCAATCAGCGGCACACATCCTTGACGACACAATATTGTTTCAGAACATCAAGTTATGTTTGATTCTTGATTGGCGACTCATGTAATTTGTTGCAATTATACAGACATTTTCTGACCTATCATCGAATGATATAGGCTTGATCAAACCCATCGCCTCCATTTCCATAACCTGTGTGCACTATTCGACGTACAAGGTATATTAGCTGGCAAACTGACTTCTCATTGATTGAACACATCTCATGATGTCTGACAGTGCCGTTGAGTCGGTACGACTATGGAAGACCATGGCCAGTGGGCCATGGGACTCAGACCACACACAGGGAACAAGGTGGCAGAATGGGTGAGAACTAGCTACTGACATGCACAAAGTATATCTACTGAGTGCCTCGAGGCCCAGGCAAGACCCCTGGCACCCCTGGCAGACCCCTGGCCTCGGACCTGGCCAACCCCTACTGACACACCGTTGGCCCAAACGGCAAGCTGAAAGATGCGTCCGAAATGGTATGGTACAATGATGCGGACGACGATCAGCCTATCCCCTCCTCATCTACAATTCACCCATTCTTTGCTGGTGCTGCTCCCCCTGCGTCTATCATAGCTGGTGCCCGTCGTTCTACTCGAGCGCCTCGCCCTTCGACGAGGATACTCGATCCCGACAATGTTGCATCATCCAGTACTGCGCAAGGTAGACGAAAAGCTGCCGACGGTCTTACCAGATGATGGGTCGCACGCAAGATTATTGCAAGCCCTACTACTTCCAATCATGATGGGGAATCCGACAGTGATGTAGATATTGGTGGTACTGATCTCGATGCAGTAGGTGGTGACACCAAAGTTGAGGATGATGTCGAGCGTGAATATGCATCGACAAAAGCTATGGGAGATGCAGACCGTAAGGTGAGTCACTAGCATTACTTTCGTCCACATGTTTCTCATGTACAAACTAGGGTTCGACTTGCCGTCCTAAGGCTGAACGAACTGCAGATGTTCATACCATCTTCATCAAGAAAGATGATTATGTAGACCCACATACTGGGCTTGTCGAGTCAGGACACGTGTGCACAGTCTGCCAGTAGGTCTCCAATTTTTTTTTTGAAATACTAAAGCTAAAACTGTGTTCGCTAGAAAGAATGGTGTTGCCGCTAGACAATGCTTCTTCAAGGGCAGCATGTCAACCCTCCGTACTCATGTCTCAAGGCAAGTTTTCCGCATCAGTGATCAATGTATTCACGCTAACGACAGAATACAGGCATCCCGACCATATCAAGGTTTATCAAGAACATTGCAAGAAATTAGACATTCCCTTGAACGAAAGGGCATGTCCAAAGTCTGATACGACTGAAACCCTCGACAGGTATATTTGATCCCGTACGCACTGACATTTGACTTCATTAACTTACATTTATTTCAGTCAACGAAGTCTTGATGGGATTGTAATCCATCAGCCATGCACACCTGCATTTACAACCAGCGGCCTTCTTGACTATGTCGTGGAGTTGATCGTGTGTGAGGACAAGGCATTCCAACTCGTGGAAAAAGGCCTATTCCGTCGCCTACTAACTTACCTCCGACCATCTTTGTCTGACAACGACATTCTGCACCGTAAGGCCGTTCGCCATGAAATCATGAAGAAAGCAGCGGCTACTGAAGCACGTCTGCAATACATTCTCAAGGTGGGTGTTTTTCTTTTCTCTTTGTGATATCTACCATCTTAAAGTGTACTCGCTGCAGGACATACCTGGAAAGGTTTCATTCACATTTGACGCTTGGACATCCGACCCTGGTGATCCACTTTTGTCTGTTACCGGCCATTACATCCATTCGCAACCAGATAAACCTAATGACTGGAAACTTCGAACTGAGCAGCTGGCGTTTTCGCCCATCAAAGGACGTCATACTGGAGCAAACATGGCTACTTTACTTGTGCGCACAGTGGACCGGTACGGTCTTCGTCCAAAAGTAAGTACTTTCATTTGTTTTTAATCTATGTAATACTAAATAACAACCAGGTAGGTTCGTTTACCTGTGATAATGCATCGAGCAATGACACGTGCCTTGCCACCTTTGCAGATATCATCAACACTGATAAGGCTGCTGGTGCAAAGATGTGGGATCCTGTTCAAGGTCATGTCAGGTATGATCACCGTGTCACGCATCTATATATTTCTCACTGTTTGAACAGATGCATGGAACATACCATCAACCTCGCTGCCGGATGTTTTGTCACCACTGTCTCGCCAACATCGGCTCGCAAGCTTCTCAAAAAGATAAAGGCGGCATTCAAACACGTTCAGCTGGATGGTAAAGACATTGATCTCGATGCTTTAGAGGCCGACTTGGAGGCCGACTTGGAAGATGTTGATGTCGAGGGTGACCAGGAGGAGGATGATGACGATGACAAGGAATTCAGAGTTGGGGACACAATCGGAAAGGCACTAGCGCTGGTGAAGCAGGTATGCTATCTTGCAGCCCTCGTTTCTACTGACTAATAAATATTACAGATTTGCGCATCACTGCAGGCTCACACTTTTTCACTCAATTGTGTAAGCAGGCAGATGTTCCTACCCTCAAGCTGATGCAGTGGGTGCGGACACGCTGGGCTTCAATGCATAGTTTTATCTCACGCATGCTTTTGCTTCAGAAGGTACGTCTCTCTCATATACTATGTTTTAAAACTTAAAGCTAATTGTGACATCTCGCTAGGGCGTTAATCTGTTTGTTGAGCTTGCTGACGACAGCAAAGATGTTCTGAACCTCAAAGGGAAGTCCTATGCAGATTTTCGACTCGACAGAAAGGACTGGGAAAAGCTCAGGTTAATGCACAAGGTTCTACAGGTTTATCATTACGACTAGCTACATTTTTTTATATTCTTTATACACTGACAACAATGGTAGGAACCAGCAAGTGCTACACAAACGTTTTCTAGCTCGCGCGACCCTTCCATTTGGCGGACAATTCATGTCCTCAAATTCTTACAGAAGTCGTGGGAAAATATGGCCAAGCTCCCACGATTTTCCAAAGTCGGTGATGCCATTCAAAAGGCTTTGGAAAATGTTGCGAAGTGGTACGACAAAACGAAGGACACGGACATATATTTTATTTGCCTTGGTATGTTCTTACTTCTTCACTTAGTATGATGATACTGATGTTACGGCTTTGAAGCACTTGACCCCAATGTCAAGATTGCATATGCCGAACATCAGTGGGACCAGGAGTTGTTCGATGTTGGCCTCGATAGGCTCAAACAAGTGGTAATTTTTTTTCCTTGTGTGGTCGTCACAGGCTAATTAATACATCCATAGTTCGATGAGTACTACGTGGCCCCGACCTCTGTTGCTGTAGAGGCTGACAATGAACAAGGGACATCTGACTTGCATGGTCAGTATGGCCGTTCGTGGGTGCTTGCAGCTGTGCAAGCACGTCTTGCATCAGATCGCACCAAGCTGAACCCTCGCGCTGAACTTACGGCTTATCTTGGAAGTCCTCTCGAGCAGACTGATGATGTTGTAGGTTGGTGGGGGGTGAGTTTTTATGCTATCACAAGCATACGAGTTGACTAACGAAGATTTGTACAGCACCACCAGTCGCAGTACCCAACTCTTTCACGCATGGCCAGGGACTACTTGCCCATACAAGGCTCTTCTACACCCTCGGAACGTGCCTTTTCGAGTGGCGGATTGACAGGAACCAAGTGGCGGAACCGTCTCAAATCAGATGTTTTTGAGAGCTTGCAGTTGTTAAAGAGTGCATACCGCAATGGTCACATCTCTGCTGCCAGTGATGCCGAGCAGCACTTGGATGCACTGATTGCTGCCCTCCATGATGATGCAGATGAAGATAGCGAGTAGTTTTATTTTCTCTTTGTTGTATACTACTCTACATCTCTGGCCAAAATGAATTTTTTTTTGAGCTTAGATTTGGATGGTCCGGTTCAGGGTTCGGACCCTTGATGAACTGGAACTGGACCGTTATCGGACTGAACCGATGGTCCGGTCCATGGTTCTGTTTGTGGAGAGAACTGGACCTATGGTTCGGTTCTCGGTTCCCAGAATTTGCCAGTGAACTGGACCAAACTGGACCCGTCCATCACTACGGATGGAGAACCATGGCAGCACATAGATGGATAATTAGCCTACAGTGATGTATCATGTCAATGGATAGTTGAATTGAGGGATGTATCCCAGTTTTAGGGCTATAGCCCATAATGATATATCTGTCTACCAACATCAGGTGGTGCGTGGATGCTAGGGTGGGAGATTATGTGAGTGGGGATGTGAGTTCGTGTGTAGGTGTGAGCTTGGGGGAAGGAGGAGAAGGAGAACGGGAGGTAGAAGGTATGACGGGCGCTTGCAAAGCTTGCAGTGCTTGACTGTGGTGGCGTTTCTTTGATGTCAGTTTCTGCTCCTGTGCCCCCTGATGTGGAATTGGAATTAGGTGTTGAGATAGTAGCTTGCAGTTTGGGGTGTGGAATAGCGTGTGCCACATCGACTGTCAAGATCCATTTAACGAGTTGGCGGTATATGGAGCTAGCGGTGCGCATGTTTAGTCTAGGTGTTTGCGATCATACTTTGGTATCAGTGAGTGAAAAAACG